ATGAGGTCTCCCCTGAGCCTCCTTTTCTCCAGGCTAAACAGTCCCAGTTCCCTCAGCCGCTCCTCATAAGACTTGTTCTCCAGACCCCTCACCAGCCTCGTTGCCCTTCTCTGGACACGCTCCAGCACCTCAACGTCCTTCTTGTAGTGAGGGGCAACATAGAAACATATACAGTTTCTACTAGACAAATGGACTTCCTTGGCCAGTCTGTCACTTGATTCCCTCTTCCTTTATTCAGGAGGTTTTTGCTAAGGTAGTCATATGCTTCCTCATCTTTTTCTGAACACTACATAAAAATCATACCTCCAGAAAACATCCTCCAGTTTGTCTGATACAGCACTGTAATGAATCAGGCAAAATAACCAGAAGCCAAAGTCATTTCACAGGCTGTCCTTCATTATCCCGCTACATTGGTGGCTCTCCCCATTTAGCACCTGCCATGCATACAGGTTACAGACCTATTGTGAGACCTTGGCATTATTTCTTAACTTGTTTGTTAGAAAGTGAAAGAGGTCTTGTTCTTCCTCACTGCAATGAGGCACTTTCCTTCCCTTGGCCCTATAATAGATATTATCAGCGTGTTGTAAAATCACTTATTTTGCATAAGAACAAAAATTTTTCAGTCTATTTGAATCTCAGCTATGAAAATCAGTGTCGCTTCAGTGACGTAATACATATTGTTATATTGCGTGAGAGTTAAATCTAAACAGGCCATATGCGAATGAATATAACAGGAAAAAAGCTTTTGTGACATTTTAATTAAGTGATTGAATACAACCAACAGTTAACCATTTCTGAGTAATTCCCTTTGGGTTACACCCTGAATATAACAAATAAGAAAACCACCTATAGTTCAGAATTCACAGTTTCTGTATGAATATATAAGTTAGCTTACCTAACTTTACCTGAAGAAGATATTTCTTTGTCACTATATTTGCTTCTTCTCTCAGCTTTTCAGTGGAGAAATTGTATGTGTTACATACACACACATACAATGCAGACATGGATGCACACAGATGTTTACATATATATTTACATGCTTCTACACATAAACTCCTTCATAAAGAAGTCAGTAAACTCATATTTGCTGATGACTTTTGTCGCCCCATATAATAAGACTGGCTGATGGGATGGAATATTCTGGTATAATCTGATATTTAAGAATTTTTTAACACTTAAAATGTAGGTAAAACTACACATAGATGTAGCAAAGTTTATGGGTAGATATACACATATCTGGAGAAAAAAAATCCGATTGCTTCTTGCCACACACTCATATAATACGAAAATGGAAGAATCTGCGACCCCCATCTATGTTGGACGTCCAAGGCGAGAGTACAAAGAATCCCTGGCACTGATATCTTTGCCAAAACCCAGTGAGGTGGTTTACATGAAGCAGTTGAGAATCTGCCTTATGTCTTCATAGCTTTCTGTTTTATACATACACATGCACATACACACACACACAAGATAACTTTGTGGAAAGGTTTTTTTAGGGTTATTTTAGGAGGATGGGATGAGTAAAAAATCAATCAACAGATCACATCAGATCAGAACTGACTGTAGGTGTTTTGAGTCCACAGAGACAATGCTGCTTCCCTCTGAAGACACCAGAAGCCGGTGGGCTTATTGCGTGCGGCTGTGCTGGAGCCTGGCATTGCTGGTGGTGCGCACCAGCCATCCCCTTGCTGGCTTTCCTGGTGAGCTCAGCAAAGAGAGACAGCCCACTGCAGGCGCTGGAGACGCTCCATCTGAACCCAGCCTGGCACCTCCACCCAATGCAGCACCCACATCTGTGGTCTCACTGTGGGAGGCTCCCAGATTCATGCAATGGAAGATGAAAAAGAAGCATTAGGTGGTTTAGTCCGACGCCTGCCCCCAGGCCCTCATATTTCAGTTGTTCTTGTACTCAACCAAATGACTGTGTCTGAGCCGAGCACAGCTCGTGTTTGGCTATAGCTTGGTCATTATCCAATGTCATGGAGGGCCGCTTAAAATTTAAGATACTAAAATCTTCTTCTTTAGGATACAGATCAGCAATACATGGGGAAACAGGCAATACTAGGCATCCAAATCACTACTGGTAGCTTGCACTTCAAAATCAGGCCTTCTTGAACATGCACAGGGGCCAACAAACACATACAGGAAAAAACTCACAAGCCCTTTGAAGGGTGCATTTCAATACTGAAGGAACGGGGTATAATAGGTGAGCACGTTATGAACACTAACTTAACACTTTACTATTTTTATTTAAAGACTGGCCAATTTTTCCCACTAAAACAGCTTTTCAATGGAAAACCATTGTTCTTGACTAAACATTTATGAAAAGTGTTTTCTTTCCCTAGAATATGTCCATTTTTTAGCAAAACCTTTTACATGAACAGACTAATTTTTTGGCCCAAAGTACTCGGTTTCCCAAAGGAAAAGAAATAGGGATCAATTTTATGAGATTCACTGAATAAATTATTTATACTAAATTATTTTATAACATTGGTCTTTCCTCCACCTTGAACTCCATTTAAAAGCAGAATAATTCAGTAATCCTTTTGACATCCCAGTGCATTTGCCATTATCCTGCCACATTTGGTCACCATTTTGTAGAATGGGAGAGGTAGAAAATATGGTGACATAACCCCCTTTCTCTCCCTTCTCGCATCCCAACTCCAGTGTTTGCCGGAGGCTGTTCCAGTACTCTGATATCATTTTAGCCCCTGAGATGCACTACGGCTCTGTGTTATTTTCTTAGTTGTACTCATCTTCATCGTTCAGGAAATCCTTCATCTCACTGATTATTTTCTTAGTTGTACTCATCTTCATCATTCAGGAAATCCTTCATCTCACTGAAGTTTCTAGCCCACCAGGTCAGTGTGAGATCAGCAGGCGTCACAAAATGGCGTGGCTCACAAGATGTCACAAGAGGTGGTGGGGACACATTCAGTCTGTTTGCCATGCACTCTGCTACCACCTGATCCAGAGGAAGGGTGCAGCTTTACTACTGACTTCAATGCAGGCTGGAAATAGCACCCCTAGGACAGGGCACCGACTTCGGCTTCTGCTCGAGAACAAGACGCCGCTAGTCCATTGCTATGAGCATTATGGAAAAATAGGTCTGCAGCTCTCTTTGCTTCATTTCTGCACATTCACGGGCAGTGGCAGGTTGTGAAGCACTAACCAGGTTTTCTTGTTCTGGAAGCGGGAAAAACCACATTATTATAAGTCTTCAGAAGTCAAGAATAACCTCGGAAGAGTTAATGCACTGTCGTATCTACTGGGGGCGGGTGGTGATAGTGTGTGTGGCCATTTCAAACCATTTTTTCAGATCGCATCAAAATAAAATCACTTTCTATGATGAACCACGTTGTAAATGGATGGTGGGGCTGGGGGGGACGTGGGAGAGAGAGGAATCAAATTACATTTGGAAACAAAAGCTTTAACTTCTGGCACCTAGACAATTAGGTTTTGCTTCTTCTGTTGTTGGTCCTCGTGGTTTCATCTGTAATATGTATGGTGATTGTTTGCAGCCTGGCAACAGCGTGAAGTTGCGTGGGGGAGGGAAAACTCTAGCCCTTGTTAGCTGGGATCCAAACTTCAAAGGCTTTGGGGACATTGAGCAGACAGGTTTCAGCCGCCGTTAAGGCAGACATGCGAACAAAAGGGCTCCTTCCATTGCTGTGGAGCAGGGGTGACTTTTTGGCCCATTTTTGTTGTTGTTTTAATTTTGTCGGGGGCGGGGGGAGGAAAGCTCCTGGCACCGGGGACGATGCTTTCTGCCCATGACTGCGTGCCCTTCTCCTTTCTGCGTCAGAAGCAGATATGGGCATTTATGGCCCCATAAATCACGAGCTAAGCCATACATGAGCAGCTGGTACATGTGCTAATAACTATAATTATTAATCATGTCGATTTCACACCCTTCAAATTTCCGCGTGGGGCTTTCTGCCGGAGAGGCAGCCCCGGCGCCTTGAGCTGCTTATGGTATGAAAATATGATGAGCTGATGGTCTTTGATGATTGTCCTATGACAGTATTGATCTCCCTACAATTGGGTTTGTGGGGTATCGCTACCCAACAAAAGTGGCTCTCCTCGCCTCCTGGTATATATCATTGTCACACATGCTCCATTGTTATGGAGGGGAGTGAATTACTTTCAGTATTTGTCCCAGTCTTTAGCTACTAGGTCACCATTATTCTAGCCTTATGTCAGTGTGGGGACATTTACTTTGATGTTTTCTTTTGTATCTTTCTTAGGGTGAAAGCATTTGGCTATATAGAGCTGCTCTCTCCTCGCCTCCTGGTATATATCATTGTCACACATGCTCCATTGTTATGGAGGGGAGTGAATTACTTTCAGTATTTGTCCCAGTCTTTAGCTACTAGGTCACCATTATTCTAGCCTTATGTCAGTGTGGGGACATTTACTTTGATGTTTTCTTTTGTATCTTTCTTAGGGTGAAAGCATTTGGCTATATAGAGCTGCTCAAAAAAAAAAAAAAAGAGAAGAAGAAAAGTTCAGGTTGGTCACCATTATTCTAGCCTTATGTCAGTGTGGGGACATTTACTTTGATGTTTTCTTTTGTATCTTTCTTAGGGTGAAAGCATTTGGCTATATAGAGCTGCTCAAAAAAAAAAAAAAAAAGAGAAGAAGAAAAGTCAGCAGTTCAGGTTGGGGTGCCTGGTGGGAGCCAGGGAAATATTCCTCCTCGCGGGTGCAGGCGTCTGACCTCCCTGGTCCTCTGTATTGGCTGCCTTCACCACTGAGGACTTCACCCAGCAGCAGCCCGAGCACCGCATCCAGACCCAGCTCGGGCCCTGGCTGGTGACTCTTCAGCCACCGAGGAGGAGAGAAAGCGAAGCAATCTGTCCCCAGCCTCACCGCCACGGTGTACGCTTTCCGCCGCAGGGCTTTTTCCATGCTAGCACTTTGCTGTTTAGCAGAAGCGCAGCCAGCGAGATGCGGCAATACAGCAGCAACAGCTTTATAGATGACATTGCTGGAGGACTGAAAATAGTAGTAACAACAATAACCTCCCTTACAGCAAAATAACCCTTTTGAGGCCGGTGGGAGCACCTCTGGGGCTAATCTGCATGTTAACATGACACCGTGGTGGCCAATCGTCTCCCACTGGCCTGAACAAGGGCATGGGACTCTCCCCACTTGTTCCGAAATCTGCACGGCCCCCATTGGGCAGCTTCTAAATTGCTCCTGCTGTCTTTACAGCTGCTCTGTTCCAGTGACCCCCAGAAGGGCCCGGGGATTGTCAGGAGAAATTTCTATTAATCAACCCCAAACAGACTGTTACAATTTCACACTTTTTCTCCCGTCATTTCACACATTTAATGAATTTCGGGGCCTGCTACTTTCAAAACAGTTACACTCAAGGCCACAAAAATTAATTAATAATAATGTACAAAAATAAAATGCTGAAGAAAACAACGAACCTCCCCCAGCTGGCGGCAGCAGGACAGGGAGTACCCCTTCCAAAGTGTTACCGAAACAGACCCGAAGAGGGGCTGAAGGGGAACGTGGTGCAGTTCAGGCAGCAGATTCCCGCCTCCTCTGGGCCTGATCCTGCCCTGTTTTTATCAAGAGGAATTTTGTGTTTGACATCACTGTGAACTAAATAGGCCAGGAGTCAGTTAGGGACAAAACCCATAAACCTTATTTGCTTCAGGGCTGATGCCCACTTGCAATTACCCAGGATTAAAAGGCAGCCTGCTATGTCAAAGGGCCGCATGATCCCACAGCTGGTTACTGTAAGGTCATTTGCTCTTTTCCCTGGGGGCATAAACACATCACGGTTGCTGGTGATCAGGGGCCAGAGGCTGGACCACAAGTCTCACCTCCTAGTCCATCACCTTCGCGCCATTCAGTGGTCCTTGAGACCACTGCAGACTCCAGAAACCTTTGAATGTTACTGAAAGCCTCTTCTCACTCCTGAACTGACTAAGCCAATTCAGATTTTGACTAGGCAAGAGTGCAGCTTACTTTCTGATGCTCTGTTATTTGTGCACAGCAGGGCCAGGCTGCCAGAAATGGAGCACAGAGCGGGACTTTGTGCAAACAGCACCCAGCGGGCTCGCTCACAAATTGGGTGCCAAGCAATGAGTTGCCTCCTTTCTCAGGTGCCTTTGCTGAGGAGGGAGGTGGTGGCTGGGGAAGGAGGAAAGCAATGCGAGAGCGTGGCAGGCTTTCGCACGCATGGCTGATTTGCGCTTGTTGACCATGAAGTTACAGATGTATTTTTACCTTGAGGCTGAATTTTACAATCCTTATGTTCTGCCTTGGGTGTACTACACAGGCCAGTGACCTCCATCTGCAGGTCTCCAAATCTACGTAAAGGTTTACCTTTACAAAGGTTGTTCAGAGATGCCAAGGAAGTGAGCTGAGCACTCATCCCTCTGGACTGAGGACAGGAAAAGCACCTTCCCTGACTTTGACATCTTCTCTGGCCATATGAGGCATAATGCTCTTGAGCTCTGCCCATGACCTCTTCTTTTTCCCTTTTCCCCATGCAAGTCAATGCAGTGCAGGAAAGAAGCAGCAGAAAGGAATATTAGCAGTTAACCACAAAAATAGAGTCATCTAGGATAGAGAGCAGGATAAACCAGTCAAACCTCTGACAAGTAAGATTATAATGCCTCTTATTGGACACCCATTAGCAACCGCAGCACCCCAACATCACTATCTACGTGCCCACGTGGTCCCTCCCCACGGTCTCTGCTTGCTGCTCTCCCCATGTTATGCAGGCACCACCAGGCAGGCGTACACTACTCATTGCATCCTAGGAACTACAAGAGAAACACGCACATAGGGCTGGGTGGCCATGCTTAGTGTAGGACATGGTACCTCTAAGCCATTATTGATTGCTGCAGATTATCAAATTTACTATGTTATTTACCATGTTATTTAGGATGTAAATGGACTTGACAGCTAACCAGTGCAACCTGTGCAGTAAAGTCTCAGCACAATGTACTTGGCAGGTATGAGCAGAGCGAGGGTCTCTGAGCCCATCTGCAACTGCTGGATCCACCTCGTCAGCGAGATGGCATGCAAGAGTACAGCTCAGATCGAGGGATGCAGAGCAGCAATGAAAGGAAACTCTTCCTGCCCAAGGAGTACTGGGGACTAGCAGGATTTTATTTTGTGTCGTGTTGGTTTGGGGGATTTTACACTCATCTGTGAAGCAGCTCTTGATCCCAGCCAGTGTTAGGTACCTTAGACTCTACCCAATACCTCTGAATTTCTGCAGGGATGCTATCAATTAAAAATGGGCAAGTAATGGTTTTCCATTGTGGAAATACATGCTTTTTGAGATTTCTCATATTTCTAGCAGGGCACCACTTCTGACTCTTGTTTGGAAAAAGTGGGCATCCTTCTCAAGCATCCAATCCTTCACTGAGCAGTGTCCTGTCAGGGGCTGGAGTCAACAGAGGCTTAAATCCCTGCTCTGAATCAGTCACTCCCATTGCAGCCAAGTGGTCTCACACCTGGATTATTGCCCGATTCATGCTCCAGCTCTTCTGTGCTTCTGACAATCTGACAAAGGGACTTTCATGGTCACTGTAACCCCTTCATGACAAGTTTGTCATGTGCTAAATCTGTGTTTTCCAATTTTAATCCTGAGTTCGCTTTTGTTTTAGCTTAACTGAATGATTTGCTGTCTCCTAATTCTTGGCGTATTGGCCTGACAATCTCTGTAAGGAGTCTTCTCAAATGCAGCGGATTCATCTATAGATCCTATACATTGCTTTACAAGGAGAAAGACTTCTCTTGGTGATCCACCTATCATTATTCCTTCATGCCTCTACACAGGTACCCTTTATTTTTCTCCTCTGCACGATAGCTGTCTCTATCAGAGACTGGGTGGCTATGTCTAAGCTAGTAACTATGGTCAGAGTGTGGGCTCAGGCACCATCCCATAGTCACCCGCACCAGGCAGTAGTTAGAACCTGCCTCAGCAAAGCTCTCTGAGTCAGGCAGTGCTTTCCTAAGCAATGCCTCTGTTTGGAGGATAGTATGAAGCGCAGATTGTCCCTGGAGGGTGCTGTGGACTAGGTCATGCAGGTCTGGGGAGAAGAGAGTTTAGTCGTATGGACATGAGCCTTATTGTGCCACTTAACCTTGGAGCCAGAAAACAGAGTGATGGTCCATTTTATTTAGTATAGACACCACCTGCAGCCCTCATATGAGCATATTCTATGTCTGCTGCATGTAAACAAAGTAGAGTTCAGTTTCAACCTAGGGAGTCATAGCAATTGCCCAGATATTCAATGTCTCAGTTAAATTATTCCACCTAGAGTTTACCAGATTAGTCTTGTTTCCTCTTGTCTAGTCTATCTTCTTGTTGTAGATGGAAGGCAATATGGATACCCCCCAGACAGCAATTCAGCCCCACCCCAAGATATACCCCAACTAGACAGAACAAGGGACTCTTTGGCAGTCCCCTGGCAGATAAAAAACAAATGGGGCCGTGGTGATGAGCTGAGAGCACAACCCAAATGCTCAAGCTAGCTCAAGCTAGCTAAGATCAGCATCTCCCCTTCAGCTGGTGTCTTGCTCAGCCTGATAGACACCCTCTTCTACACCACCCCCACATTTCTTAAATTCCTGTCACAGGCCAAGGTGGTGGAGGCCTTTGCTTTGTGTCTCTCTTTGAGTTTCATCATCACAATTCAGGCCAGTACCCCCACTCCTGCCCTCCCCAAGTGCTCACTTTCATTTCAGAATATCCCAAATATCTTTGTGCTTGCTGATTACTAGTTATGCCATAAGTGACTCTTTTTAGAAGGATGCTCAATACCCTTGACTAAATTACTTCTGAAATGTGATGTTGAGGGATGGAAGAGGCTAAGTTTACAATAGCCTGAAGTTAAGATAGTCATCCTAGTCCCTATCCGTATAGGCAGTGGAGAAAGCCAGAGCTCTCTGAAGGGCTAGATAATGGTTCTCAGAGTGCCTAAAATTAGACTTTGTACATTTGGGTACTTCTGAACATTTATCCAAGCTACAGTGAATCCCCATTTGCTGAACATAACTTTATTGCCAATGTCTATAGCAAAAATGCCCCATGGTTTAATCTGGCAGTTGGTTTCTTGAATAGAAAAGGCATTTATACATTATTCTTGCATGGATGACAGTATTCCCGGAATGTGTTAAAGGTTTGCCTAGTGGTCTTTATCTCACAGTCTGCAGTCCCCTTCACGCTCCCACCGCTCGGGACTTCTGATGCTGGTGTCTCCGGGCTGCCACGTACAGCAAAGTGGGCATTCAGATTTCTCTGGCAGAAAAATGTGAGTACTGCATTTGCACCAGTGGTCTGCCTGGTGCTCTCCCCTGGCAGCTTCCCTTCCAGGCTGAGTGATTAAAACAAGTTCATCTGCTGTACTTCTGGCAAAGGTCCTTGGTGCTGCGTTACAGAGGAGTGTCATGACTGTGAGGTGCCAGTGTTTAATATGTGACACAGGTCGGACTGAATTTTTGTATCAGGATTCTTTTTTGTCTTTTTTTTTTTTTTTAAGGAAAAAAAGCCCTTATCTGACAATGGAAATTAGTACAAACAGTTTTGGTCTGTGTATGAGAGGGAAGTTTCTGAGTTGTAACTACTTAGTTTGAGGACTTTCAGTTCTCGGCTCTTAGGCCTTTCCTATTCCTACACTGCTTGTTTGCCTTCTGTCTCTCTCTCCTCCATCCTCCTCATTTTTTCTAATACATGTGGTGATGTGAGGAGAAAAAACCAAAAGGAGGGAAAGGTGGAAAAGAAAAAGGTGGGGAGAAAAATAAAGCCAAGATTTTGAAATGCAATCTTTGTCAGGCTTCTGCTCTACATTTTTAAGAAGTTGAAATCTCCTCCTGACCTTCAGAAACCCACCCGCCTCTTTCATTAGCCTTGGTGAGGTGGATCAAGGTGCTTGTGCATGACAAGGGTCACTCATTGCCACCCTCCATCTCCACAGTAACTGACTGTTTAGGCTCCTCAGTAGCACTCATCCGTGCATTAT